ATCATCATGATTATTATTATCATCACTATCATTATCATTATTAATATTATTATTATCAGTGTCATCTTTGTTATTACTATAATAATTATTAATATCATCATGATTATTATTATCATCACTATCATTATCATTATTAATATTATTATTATCAGTGTCATCTTTGTTATTACTATAATAATTATTAATATCATCATGATTATTATTATCATCACTATCATTATCATTATCAATATTATTATTATCAGTGTCATCTTTGTTATTACTATAATAATTATTAATATCATCATGATTATTATTATCATCACTATCATTATCATTATTAATATTATTATTATCAGTGTCATCTTTGTTATTACTATAATAATTATTAATATCATCATGATTATTATTATCATCACTATCATTATCATTATTAATATTATTATTATCAGTGTCATCTTTGTTATTACTATAATAATTATTAATATCATCATGATTATTATTATCATCACTATCATTATCATTATTAATATTATTATTATCAGTGTCATCTTTGTTATTACTATAATAATTATTAATATCATCATGATTATTATTATCATCACTATCATTATCATTATTAATATTATTATTATCAGTGTCATCTTTGTTATTACTATAATAATTATTAATATCATCATGATTATTATTATCATCACTATCATTATCATTATTAATATTATTATTATCAGTGTCATCTTTGTTATTACTATAATAATTATTAATATCATCATGATTATTATTATCATCACTATCATTATCATTATTAATATTATTATTATCAGTGTCATCTTTGTTATTACTATAATAATTATTAATATCATCATGATTATTATTATCATCACTATCATTATCATTATTAATATTATTATTATCAGTGTCATCTTTGTTATTACTATAATAATTATTAATATCATCATGATTATTATTATCATCACTATCATTATCATTATTAATATTATTATTATCAGTGTCATCTTTGTTATTACTATAATAATTATTAATATCATCATGATTATTATTATCATCACTATCATTATCATTATTAATATTATTATTATCAGTGTCATCTTTGTTATTACTATAATAATTATTAATATCATCATGATTATTATTATCATCACTATCATTATCATTATTAATATTATTATTATCAGTGTCATCTTTGTTATTACTATAATAATTATTAATATCATCATGATTATTATTATCATCACTATCATTATCATTATTAATATTATTATTATCAGTGTCATCTTTGTTATTACTATAATAATTATTAATATCATCATGATTATTATTATCATCACTATCATTATCATTATTAATATTATTATTATCAGTGTCATCTTTGTTATTACTATAATAATTATTAATATCATCATGATTATTATTATCATCACTATCATTATCATCATCATCATCATCCTCATTATCAATATTATCACCATAACCATTATCATATTACCGTCATAATTATGATCATTAACATTATAATCACTACCAACTTTAAATACAACTTGGATAAGTAACCGCTACATAATAAAATAAATAAATAAATAATATATTGAAACTTTAAAGTTAATTCAAAGTCTATTCTAGATCTTATTTATTTCAATTCTCTGATTCACTTAGTACTGTTAAAACAAAGAAAGTTCAGTTCGTTTTTAAAAATTTATATTGATATTTAAAGCCACTAGATACTGTTCGTTATTTTCAAAAATACTTTATAAACCCGATGACTATTTCGTGTTCTAAATTCATTGCAGGATCAATCTGTATGGGCTTTGTTGTAGAGTGACAATGTGTATTGAATAGAGCCGGGATTAATATCCATAAAGTGCGAGGTGGATAACATGCGATCCACTTTTGAAATTTTCCCTTTTAAACTTATTAAACACCAAATAAAAAAAGGAAAGTATTGATTATTTTAAGAGTGGTTATCATAACGATGGCAGTATTTAAAATGTAAGTAAAAACGGTATTGACAAACGGCAAAGTGAAACGTGTATATATGCACATACACATAATCCTCTTTAATAATATTGACACGTGTCAAATTCTTTTGGAAGAACAAAGCCCTTTATCATCATTTTTTATATATTTTTTTAAATACTGGATAGAGTCCTCATATGTCTATCTGTCTTTCCTTCTCTTAAACATTTACATTCTTTTTTTAAAGAGATTCTTTAATGCGTTCCTGAAGGTGAACATATTTGCGGGTAAGAAGGGCACATGCTTTTAACGCGAAGCTGACTGAGACAAAGGATTTCGTTTGTAAGAATACGCCTGGAAACCCTTCTTTCTCTGGGGGTTCTGTGGCGCATATATGTTGTGTCATTGTATTTATTCATATGATTTTCTTTCATGTATTTTTTTTCGTCATATTTTGAATGGCATATCGTGTATCATCTGGCGTGGTAAAGAGAACCTCTCAATTCAGTGCAAAAAAGAAAAAAAGAAGAAAGGAAAGCGTTTCAAG